TCCACTTCTAGCGTATGTATCTTCTGTGTTCCTTTTTGTTTTCATTCTGACAGCAAGACAGAATCCACTCTAGTTTCCTGTTGATTTATTTGCAAACTTGTTTTCCAGGGGGCAATGTTTTAATCTCAGGCCTTTTAAGTTGCTTTCTTATCCTTTGGGTTTTCTAATGATTTCATGAATATTTTTTTTAACTAACTCAACTTAAGAAATTGGTGTATTTTCACAATGACAAGAGAGCCATCATTACTTTTTATTTGTGTTCAAATAAAATCTAACACTTTTTCATGGGAAAACTTATGTTTGGGTCTCATACATAATTTATGAACCTAGAATTCATGTGAGACCATATATGACCCTGATTCTTGTGTCTGGGGACAACCACATACATCTAAGGTTGAATATTTACTATTCTCTTCCTCACTTCTAATCCCAAATGGAAGTGGGTATAGTCTATCCAGTAGTGCCTACCTAGGAGCAGTAACAAGTTAAAGCTAGAATCTCACACATAATTGCTTTGGGGGACTTACTGAAATCAGCAGCTTTAAAATAAGAACATGTTATTTTGTTCAACATTGCATAAGAAGGATTGTATTCAGCTTCATCATCTCCTGCAATAAAAGGTAAAGCTAATATATGCAATAAAATATCAAGATCTCATACTGCCAAGGCTACTACTATGTATTTAAATCCAGCAGTGAGATCCCCAGGCTATTTAAATATGTTTCAGCAATGCACACCTCAGTTGAAGTTTTAGGCCCCTGATGCAAAGAGAAGCAGAGCTCCTCTTACTGAATTCAGTCTAGAGGAGGAAGCTTGGTTGAGTGCTAAGGCAGGTTGACTCCTGAGAAGTAGGGAGAAAGGCGTGATTAATTAACTATCATTTGTTTTTGTGAAAACAAAGTCAAAGAAAAGGAGCATATGATTATGTTAATGAAGTCAGAGCAGAAAAAATAAAGAACAGAGTGATGGAATGTATTTTTAGGGTAGATCAAGAAAATATATTAAGACAATTTAAGCAGAGAAATAGAGTACAGTGTTAAGGCTCATATTTCCTGACATATAATATATGTTTAATAAATTTTAGTTTTTTAAAATATATGCCAATATGGAAATCTATGTTTTTATATTTAGTCATAGATATAAAGTAATTTACATTTTCTGCAGTTTCCTATACCTTGTGTGACCCTGTTATTGTCTCTCTTGGCTAGAAACACTGACTCATTAGTTCCAAGGTAAATAAAATGAATTTCTGAACAACTAAAAAAAGAATTTCAGCAGTGACAATAGCCTTGCATTATTTTAACTGTCAAAGTCACTGAAAACTAAAATTCATAGGTGAAATACAGACATCTTTGCCACGTCTATCTCTGCCTTTGCTTTTCTTCTTTCTGTAATGTCATCTATCAAATAAATACCACCTGTCAAATGGTATGCTGTGGAGTCCTCAGTACAGTCTCAGTAAAGCAATAGTAATTGTAAAGTCTAATCTAAAATACTTTTACCCATTTTTATACAACATACTATGAAATATGGTGTAGAAGTTAAAATAATTATCTAATTGGAAAATATATTGACCAGTCCTGAACAAATACCATCACTTAACATATCACTTGAAAAGACACAAATTGCAGACTGAAACAAGCATAAAGTAAATATAGTATAAACGGTTTCAAAAATCTACCATCTTATTCCTGCTGGGCCATCAGAAATATGACTACACCATTCCAAGCGATTGAGAAGAAAAAAAAAGGGATGACTTCTAACCTGTTGTGGAGAAAAAAAGTGCATTGTATTTTTTTTTAAAGATTTTATTTATTTATTTGAGAGAGAGAGAATGAGAGATAGAGAGCACGAGAGAGAAGAGGGTCAGAGGGAGAAGCAGACTCCCCGCTGAGCAGGGAGCCCGATGCGGGACTCGATCCCGGGACTCCAGGATCATGACCTGAGCCGAAGGCAGTCGCTTAACCAACTGAGCCACCCAGGCGCCCGAAAAAAAGTGCATTATAATCGTTTTGCATTTCTGGCTACCTATTTCCCCCTGTGACTGAGACAAAGAGAAAAAAGATCCAAGTTAGTATAAATCAGATGTTATCTGAGGAAAACTGAAATTACATTTATCTATATTAGGAAACTAAAAAATCAATACAGAGAGCTAATGTGATAAAGAGGTTAAGGGCATAAATTCTGGACATGAAGAATCATAGGTCAAATCCTGGCTCTTCCACTTGTAATCTCTTTGGTAGTAAGCAAATCACCTCTCTGTCCCTTAGATTCCTAATCTGTATGTTAATAGTATCTGTCTCAGAATGGTTTTTATGTTGTATATGTGTCCATAACATATTTAATTATATCTAAGTGTTTGCCCTTATTTTTGGTGATAGTTCATTATTACCCCATTCTCTCCAGCAAAGGTCGTATAGAAAGCTCACATATTTGGATTGAATTCTTAGTCTTGGTGAACTAATACAGTTGTTGGATTCTGCCAGGTTCATGGGTTATCTATCACTTGTCTGCACTGTAGTGCACTTCTTCAGTAGATCCCCTTTACTTTGTCACTCTTCACAAAATTACTGCTCAAGGCTGCATGTAGTTGTGGCTTTTATTGAGTACTGGGAGGTATTTTCTGAATATCATTACTATATAACAAAGACTTCAGCCATATTCTTAAAAAGTCTTCCATTAATTCTCACTAACGATCAACACTTAATGATATGCCAGTTACATCATCTGCTTTTTTTTCTCTCTCTGTAAGTCCCCAACTACCCTTTCCTCAGATCTTCCTGGAAATTCCAAATTTCTCACTTAATTATAAAAGTTAATTTTGCTCTTTTGTGTCATTGTTTTTATTTCTGGGCAGTGCCCTAGGCAATATATTTTAGGAACTAATTAATAGCCCAATGTACTTTCCTAATAATAGAGGATAATTGTAAGAAAGTAATTAAAAATTATTGAGCATCTATTTTATTTCAGGTATATTTTTAGGTTTAAACAAATTAAAAAAAAACAAACATATGATAATTGGAAACGAAAGAATGTTGGAAGAATATGTATCTAGAAAATGGCAGGTCCAGAATCTGGACACATGTTCTGTGTACCACACTATGTTGAAATGTCTCTTCTCAACTTTTATATAGAGAACCTTTTTTTTTAGTCAGATTACACTTATATGTACTTTCTGATTATTCAGATATGTACAGATCTTACCTTCAGAACTATATTTCAATTTAACATAATACTATTTATTGAGACCATTCAAGAGAAAAAAATACAAACAGTGGCTGTGGAGTGCCTTTCCCCTATTATTCTTAGTTAATTTTAAATGTTGAGCTGTGTGAGTAGATGGGAGAAAAGGAGCTCCTATTACTTTATTTTTTTCCTTTTTTCCCCTATTATTTTAGAACAATTTGTAGAGTGATTCTTTGCTGGATGATTCATTTGAGGCACGGTTGGCTAAATAGTTTAAGGGGCCCAGTACAAAATGAAAATGCAGGGTGCTGGTTTGGGGCAGGAAATCAGTTTCTTTTTCTCCGGAGCCTACCACCCTGGCCCATAGAGACCTTCAAGGGATTGCAACTTCCATGCTGGGATGCACTCAGTATCTGGATGGGGAGTAGGTGAGAGTTCCACATCAAGTCCCTTTGGAAGCCACCACTGAGTTGCCTGCCACAGTCAGGGAGCCTGCCACCTTGCCCAGCCCCAGATCCAGATGCTGCAAGCCTCTCAGTTAAATCTGACCCTATCCACTTCATTTATAAAACACAAATTCAAAGATAATTTTAAAATGATGACAACAGAACATGAAATGTAAGTGCAGGGCATTTTTAAGTGCTGGGCACTGTGCAACTTCACTGATCATTAGAGCCAACCTGATTAGAAGAATTGATAGAGACTTCAAATAAAATTCCTTTGGAAGAATTACACTGCTGTCCATAGTTAATGCTGATTCTTGCTCATGGAATATAAGGAGACTCAGCATTTCTCTGGTAGATGCCCACTGGGGCCTTAGGCTCAGATTATAGAAGATGGACTGGAAACTTGCCATGAGGCTAGCTGCCTAAATAGGGACACTGGTGGATATAAAAATGTTTGACAGATACAATGGAAGAAAATGATATTCTAGATCAAGTAAAGAGTATGATAAAAATACCAGGAAGGGGAAGGATAAAATATATTTTGGGAAAAAAAAAGAATGTTGATATATATTGTTGGATTAAAGGAGAAAGGTGGGAAAATAGTGGGAGTAAGATTGAAAATAAGTTAGTAGCCAATTGTAAATGCTTTACATTTAAATTGAAAAGAATATGTGAAATTGAAAAGCAATCCATTAAAGGGAAGTGATGTGGACTGGTATTGATTGATATAGATTTTAATTTTATTGATAGGAATTTTGTTCCCTGATGATGGTTTTGAGTTTACTCAAAACAACTGCATGTTCACAAAGTTTATTTGCTAAATTTCAGTCTGTCGAGGAAAACTGTGTTGTAAATGGGGAAAACTAGGAATTAGGAACCTGAATGTTAGCATTTTTGTGATCTTTAGAACATCCAGGTAGAAATAAGCCTTGTAAAGGGGGAATTCTGGGGAATAATAGCCTCGTGTAAGTGTAAATTTTCCAATCCATATAAGAACCAAACCAAATTCCGAAAGTATAAGAATATAAAATGAAAAAAAGTCACTGTGGAAATTAGAGAATAATGTCAAACACATAACTGCAAACTTTGAGGAAATCCTGAAATTCCTGACCAAGGAGTTATGTGGTGAAGGAGAGAAGCATTGCTCCATATTCCAATCTTTAAGGAGCAAGAGCTGAAGGCAAGGTCAAGGTAGGATAGTAGAAAAAAATAGATAATTTTAACTAAAACTGTCTTAACAGTTTGACAAAACAGAACCCACAAACAGCTATGTGTAGGTGGGACGTGAGTTAGGTCAGAACACACACGGAAAGAGACACACATGGTATGGAGAGTAGACTTTTAATTGACATTTTCACCATTGTGCTTAATGTGTTCACTCAAAATTAGAGCTGGCAAGCAACTTCCATGACAGGAAGATTAGCAACTGAATAGGATTTTATACTCCTCCAGGGTGCTAGATTTTCAGTGTATCTTCACGGTGGTCCTAGAATATAATCAGACCAGAGTTGCATCAGATGCTAAAAGTTCCTCTCTTCCTCTGCTGAAGCTGTGAGTTCCAAACTCACCACTTTAGGATTCTGAGTGATTAAATCTGTGAAATAAAGTAATTTCATATGCCTCCTTTCATGGGCAGAATTGTGTCCCCAAAATTTCAAATGTTAAAATTCTAACCCCCAGTATCTCAGAATATTTCTGTATTTGGAGATAAGGACATTAAATAGGTGATTTTGGTGAACTGAGGTCATTAAATTGGGCCCCAATCCAAGATGACTGATGTTCCTATAAGAGATTAGGACACAGACACACAGAGGAGAAACAGGTGAAGAGGGAAATGTTATCTGGAAGCCAAGGACAGATGTCTCAGAAGAAATCAACTCTACAGACATCTTGATCTTAGACTTCTATCTTCCAGAAGTATGAGAAAATAAATTTGTTGTTTAGGCCATTCAGTCTATGATACTTTATTATGGAATCTCTAAAAAACAAACACATGCCTCCTAAATTCTAAGAAAGACTTATTAACTATAACTACAAAAGGTTAAAGGCTGTCCAGTTGATATCCAGTTATACTAGGTTTAAGGAAATATGTGTTTTGAATATACTTACTTACATTCAAGTAAGGGAATAGAAACATAATTTCTTCTTCAAGGGAACCCCCTTATCTGTGGGGATACATTCCAAGACTCCAGTGGATGCCTGAAACTACAGATAGTACAGAATCATATATACTGTGGTTTTTCCTATACATACATCCCTATGATAAAGTTTAATTTATAAATCAGGCACAGTAAGATATTAACGGCAATACTAATAATAAAATAGAACAATTAAAATAGTATGCTGTAATAAAAGTTATGTGGATGTGGTCTCTCCCCACAAATATTTTATTGTACTATACTCACCCTTATGATGATATGAGATGAAAAACTGCCTACATAGTGGAATGAAATGAGGTGAATGATGTAGGCGAGTGACATAGCATTAGGCTACTAATGACCTTCTAATAATAAGTCAGAAGGAGGACAATCTGCTTCTGGACCATGGCTGATCACGGGTGACTTAAAACCATGGGAAGTAAAACTTTGAATGGGGGGGCTACGGTAAGTATAGATAGAAGGGAATTCCTTGAAAGAGAAGTTTCCGAAGACATAAACAGAACATACTGAATACAGTTGATGGCCATACTTCTTTTTTTCAGATCAAGTCATTTATTAAAGTAAATTAGTGGCAATAAATAACTCTATTTCCTTGAAAATTAAAGAGCTCTTTTATGAAATGTATTTCAGATGATTCTAATCCTTCAGCATTCTGTGGATGCCCTTTATGTCTAAATAAGAACACTTTAGCTATAATCAAATCATCTTTGAGACTTTCCAACTACCTAATATTATTTTGAATTTCAGGAGGATTCGATATTAATTGGAGATATATATCAAAGGTTGGTTCATTTATAAGCTGGTTTCACAAGTGCTGCCCACCTTAAATCCCCTTTTGAAATTCCTTCTCTGTCCTCTTTATTATTGCCATTTTCCCAACTAATATATTATTTATTCTCCATAAATACCATTAAACAAAACTAGTGGTGCAAATGTTTTTCTTTGCAGGTATAGGGCAGTAGATGATAATAATAGATGAGGCAAGAAAACACATATCAAACATCACTATCCTAAAATTAGATGTCCCTTACACATAAAAGAGAATTTCTTCCTGGCTTTCACTTGCTTTTCCTTTCCTTCCTTTTTGTCTTCTCTTTCCTCTTCTCTTTTTTTTTTTTTTTCCCCAGTAGGCTCCATACCCAGCATGGGGCCCCAAACTCATGACCATGAGAGTGAGACCTGAGCTGGGATCAAGAGCTGGACACCCAGTCAGCTGAGCTACCTAGGTGCCCCTCTCCCTGGCTTTCTTATGCCCTTTATTGCTGTTTTGCCCTTGCCTCTTAGGGTAACTTTCCCCAGCACCAACTGTCAGCTTCACTCTCCCCATAAAAAAAAAAGAAAAAGAAAAAGAAAAGAAAAGAAAAAGAAAAAAATAATCCGTTTGTTTCTTATGTAGAGAAATTGACTTTTTGTAAAGTAAACACCTTCTATCTGGGTTATGCTTAGAAAACCTCATCTTTCATGATCAACTATCCCATTTTTCTGTTAAGGTACTTTACCTGAGACAAAGAATTTCTCTTCCTAAGAGGAAGCTACTTTCCCTGGTAAATCAACTGAATCAAGTGGTATATAGCTTTTTCTTTTTTGTTACTTTTTTACAAGGAATGATTAATGAGAAGCTAAGACAACAATATGAAATTAATAGGGAACTATCAAAGATAAGAGAATTTAAACCAAAAAAAACTATACTAGAATATAATGTCCTTAGGAGTAGTAAATATAGAAAATGTAGCAATGATGGGATAACTGGTGTGCATACACACACAAAGTCTATTAAAATGCTAAAGAAAAGAATAAAGCAATGACATTAATAAAAATAAAAAAATAATTTATAAATAAAAATGCAGTGTTTTAAAATTCTTAATACACTTCACCTACATGCAGTTCACAGGAGGGCTTCTGATGGGTGGGAGACTGTTCACATAGTCATAATTTTGGTCCTTCTCTTTTGCTTCACTTCCATTAGATGATTTAGGGAATCACTCCCATTAAAGCTGTTCTGCTTGTTTGGTTGTAATCCTTGAATAAAGATCAGGGGAAGAATAATCATCCTACACTGATAGCTACCTGTATGTGACAACTCTGGTCCCAGCATGATGATACTGCTGTATCTTTTTTTCTGCCTAGAAAGAACAGCAGGTGGCAATGATCTTTCCATGGCAATGTGTTAAAGAAAAAAGCTGTCCCATAGCTTATTTTTGGACCATGGTGGTAAACAACTGCTACCAAAGGTTGCCTGCTTTTCCTCAATCTTAGGCCACTCTCTTTTCCTAGTTTTTCAGTTCTTTGTCAGCTTTTTTTTTTTTAAGACTATATTTATTTTACAGAAAGAGTGTGTGTGAGAGAGAGAGAGCAATTGCAAGCGCACAAGCAGGGGGAGCAGCAGGCAGAGGGAGAGGGAGAAGCAGGCCCGTCCCTGAGCAGGGAGCCCGCCACCGACACAGGGCTCGATCCCAGGACCCTGGAATCGAGCTGAAGGCAGGTGCTTAACTGACTGAGCCACCCAGGAATCCCTCTTTGTCAGCTTTTAATATGCATTCATTTATATTTCCAGAACTGAGCTTGAATTTTGAATCAGCAGTTGATACTAATTTTCATCTTTCCATTTTTTTTCTGGTTTTGCATATATCTGAAGTTGAAAAGATACTGGTATTTGTGAAATCCTGGATGTAAGAAGATCTTCTAAAAGTTAAAGGTAGTCAAAGACAAAAATGCCCTACTCTGTGTCAAATCAATATGTTGTACACCTGAAACTAAAATTGTGTGAAGTATACTTCAATTAAAAAAGAAAAAGCCCTACTCTAAAAGACACTTGACATGCTCAATAGACATTCCAAGGAACATTCAAGAGAAATGTTTTAGATATGATTTATGTTAAAATTGTCTTAAGGATTCTTTTATTTAAATATATCATTATATTTCCAAACATTGTGTGGTGCTTAATCTTGGTATTAATAAAAACCACACCTTTACCTTTTTTTCTCTACAGAAATGTAATTCTGATGCCCAGGCATATTTTTTATTTAACTTCCTTTACTTCCTTTATCCCAAGGCTGAACTGCACCGTTCCATGTTCTTTTACCCTCTGTATACACCATGAAACATCTTTCTTTTATTATTGCCAACTATAGGAATTACAAATGTAATTACTGTGGCAACTATTTCTGTTTGCATGCAATAACTTAGGAAATGTAAAAATTTAGTATATAACTTTTTGAAAACCATAACACTAATTCTTGAACAGATTTAGCACCTTGATTAGATTAGATTTCCTGTTCCTTGATTAGATTTCCTAATACTTTCATCTAATAAAAAAAACTAGGAGTTATTCTCTGGATATCTGCCCCCCCCCATTTTCTCCTAAAAATATTTTTCATTTATAACATATTATACTTTATGTCCACAGGCAATTTTGTTTTTATCATGTGTTCCAGATTAGGCTGAAGGCACAAGTATTATTTAAATCATTTAACAAAGAAAAGCTTGATATGGAAGCTGTGCTTTTTTAAAATTATTAGATCTCTCCAGATGCCATATTGAATGATCAAAACACCAGAATTCTTCTGTCCAGTGAAACTTCTAATGAATTATTGTCTGATGGATTAAAAATAATTCTGAAAGAGCACAATGCAAAAATACTGAAATTACTGAAAAAAGACCAGGAGAGAGAGATGGATGTTCCACATTATTAATAAGATTCTGAGCATTTCTTTATCTTAAAATGATTTCTCCCCTCTCATTTTAAAAGAGAATAATCTAGGATTTAGCAAGTTATTCCTTCATACTTGACAAAGGCCAAGGGAATTTAAATGATGTTTCTTTCTTTTTTTTATTAACATATAATGTATTACTTGTTTCAGGGGTACAGGTCTGTGATTCATCAGTCTTACACAATTTACAGCGCTCACCATGGTACATACCCTCCCCAGTGTCCATCACCCAGCCACCCCATCCCTCCCACCCCCCTCTACTCCAGCAACCTCAGTTTGTTTCCTGAGATAAAGAGTCTCTTACGGTTTGTCTGCCTCTCTGGTTTCATCTTGTTTCATTTTTCCCTCCCTTCCCTTCTGATCCTCTGTCTTGTTTCTCAAATTCCTCATGTCAGTGAGATCATATGATACTTGTCTTTCTCTAATTGACTTATTTTGCTTAGCCTAATACCCTCTAGTTCCATCCACGTTGTTGCAAATGGCAACATTTCATTGTTTTTGATGGCTGCATAATATTCCATTGTATATATACACCACATCTTCTTTATCCATTCATCTGTTGGTGGACATCTAGGCTCTTTCCATAGTTTGGCTATTGTGGACATTGCTGCTATAAACATTGGGATGCACATACCCCTTCGAATCACTACATTTGTAACTTTGGGGTAAATACCCAGTAGTGCAATTGCTGGATCGTATGGTAGTTCTATTTTCAACTTTTGGAGGAACCTCCATACTGTTTTCCAGAGTGGCTGCACCAGCTTGCATTCCCACCAACAGTGTAGGAGGGTTCCCCTTTCTCTGCATCCCTGCCAACATCTGTTGTTTCCTGACTTCTTAATTTTAGCCGTTCTGACTGGTGTGAGGTGGTATCTCACTGAGGTTTTGATTTGGATTTTCCTGATGCTGAGTGATGTTAAACACTTTCATGTGTCTGTTGGCCATTTGGAAGTCTTCTTTGCAGAAATGTCTGTTCATGTCTTCTGCCCATTTCTTGATTGGATCATTTGTTCTTTGTGTGTTGAGTTTGAGAAGTTCTTTATAGATTTTGGATACTAGCCCTTTATCTGATATGTCATTTGCAAATATCTTCTCCCATTCTGTCGGTTGTCTTTTGGTTTTGTTGACTGTTTTCTTTGCTGTGCCAAAGCTTTTTATCTTGATGAAGTCCCATAAATAATGTTTCTTTAGAATTGCTTTCATATAAACTCTGGACTATCACTTTCTTAATGAGTCCAAACTTTGTGTAAAAAATAATGCAAATGTCTAAAAACTTGCATATAAGTTTTGAATTTTTTACAGGCCTTAGGTTAATACCTTCTCCTTGGGAGGCAAACTTTTTGTGTACTTCATGAAGAAACTCTAGTAAACTTTACTCTGTAAACTCACAGAGTAGTGGTTTTAGATTTCTGCCATCTCTTGTGAAACTGAACCATAACTTAGAATTGTATTAATAATGCTTTATCTACTTAGCCAGCTTCCTTTCCGCCCAGTTATCAAAATAGGTTAACTTCATTCAGACCTCATTTTTGTCACATAGGTGGTTTCATCAGGTTTCAAGAACCATTACAGAATGACTCTCACCACTTCTACAGAAATAACTTAAATTCCCTTAACCTGAAGTACAAAGTTCAATAGTAAGTGACTTAGCCATCAAACCTATGTGACAATGTCAAACATGAAGCATTTTTTTGAGAAAAAATATAACTATTTCATGTCTTGTAGTACTTGGAAAGCCTGCATTATCAAAGTTATATAGGAACTTAAAAGAAGAAAACCCAAGCAACTTTCAACTTTATCGAAGCAAAAGTTACAGAAAAAATGCAGGCTGTATTTATGATGCAAAATCAGTGAGCAGAAAAATGAATAACCCAGTCAATCAGTTATAGTAGGGGTGTGTATGTGTATGTGTGGATAGTATGGGCATTAACTATCAATCCTTTATTATATGTATAACAAGGAAATCTTCATATAGAAGGGTTTAGAGAACATTCTTGATGATTAAAAGATAGTCTTATTTCTGTGCTTTCATCTAATGTGTTATCCTGTATGACATACTCACCTCAGTTATGTATTATTTTCTAGTTCACTAGGAACTGACCTATTCATGATGCAGTACTGAGGTTCTACTCTCCAAAGCTATAATTTCTCAAAGCTGTCATCATATTATAGCCTGAGTTCTCATCATTCTCTTTCCTGGATCCAGAGTCTCATGGATTCTTGCTACATTTCTGTCCTTGAGTTCTGAACAATATCTCTAAACCCTTCCAATAATTGTCATTTTTATTGATCTAAGCTAATTTGAATATATACTTAATACAAGATATTTCCTGACAAAAATAGACTGGACTTCTTACGAAATTTGCATGAGAAATGTACTTATTTTCCCCCATTGAATTTTGGAAATGGCTGAAACTTGGGGATAAAGGATTTTCAGCTGAAGAAAATGGATGTCCCTTCTCTTAATCATAATGGAAAATAGAGCAGAATATGAAGCAAACATTTGGACTACAAGAGTAGACATCTTCTGCTATATCAATCCAGATTTTATGGAAGTATAAAGTCATAAGCAATTCCAGTGAGGAGGGAGAGTGATATGCCCCTGGGCATATATGTCAGAATAGAAATGAGAAATAAGTGGTAACACTATCCTTTTCTTTCTTCTGGGATTAGTGGCAGAAACAAATTCTGGCCACATCACTGAATCAAAAAGCATAAAATCATCCTATTTTTGAAAAATTCTAAATTGGAATCAGTGTCAAAGGACTAGCCTAGGCTGTCTCCTGGGGAGAACCATGAGGAATGAAGACTCATCCTTTGGATATACAGAGAACCATGCCCTTTCTTCAAGATAGGAATAGAGCAGGGTAGATATAGCAGGGGTCATAAACAAAGAGTTGCTGGGCTTGCAGAGTGGATTTCTTTATGGTGTAATCAACAGTAGTGGTGATATCATGGCCAGAGAAAAATTGGGAAAAAAATTTTTTTAAAGATTTTATTTATTTGGGGGAGAGAGAGTGAGCACAAGCAGAGTGAGCGACAGGTGGAGGGAGAGGGAGAAGCAAGCTCCCTGCTAAGCAGGGAGCCCAACGTGGGGCTTGATCCCAGGACCCTGGGATCATGACCTGAGCCAAAGGCAGATGACGTTTAACCGACTGAGCCACCCAGGTGCCCCTGGAAAATTTTTCTAGAGCACATTTCTCGGAATTTATTCTGCCACTGGCCCTTCCTCTTCTACAAGGTTATGATCAGTAAGCATTACATGCATAGCTCACTAGATATAGAAATCAAATATCAATTTAAATTAAT